ACATAAAACCACAGTATTATTTTTTATTTTTGTGCAGAATGATAAAAAACACAAAACAAAGAGAAACGCCAGTACTCATTAACAAATGATAAAAATACATTTTCATGGTTTATAAAAGTTCCACAAAATAATTATAGATATTAATCCTAAAATATATGATCAATCATGTCAAGACCTAGAATAGATAAACATGTATGTATATATATATCTTTGTGGATATGCATGTATGTAGAGAGAGAATGAAGAGAAACAATTAAATGATTATGTCATAATTACTTTATTATGATTTACTTCTCTCAACAGGATGACGTTGACACATCATATTAAAAGAAAAAAATGGGTAAATTTTCTCCAATCTTTACATGGACAGACAAGCTAGTAAATTGGTATAACAATGTGAAATGAAAATGTACGCGTTTTATGTATTAATTATGTTTTCATGATCTACATTGACATAATAATCATAAATACATTTGATTTTGATTTACACATTGACATGTGTTGATCTAACAAATTTTGTAAATTAAGACATAAAAATGTGTTTCAAATATCACATCAAGCATAGAATTGTCTGTTTAGAATCTCCAGAAACTGAGCATTTTGACTTTAACGTCTGCATGCAAAAACATTGCATGCATTAGCATTCGCACCTATTAGTTGTCTATAGGCTCCAAAGCCCTGTCTCTGCCCCTCTGTCAACATTCTTGATTCTGGATATTCAATTCTTTTGGGACTAAAGGATATTAATGTTCTCGTCTACAAATAATCATATTGAAATTCCATATTTTAAATTCTACATTACCAATAATATTTCAGTTAAAAACCTATAAAGTTTATACTCCGATTTGTTTGGTTCGGTGAAGAAAGTTTCATGTCGGCTTTTTCAAAAAGCAAAAAAAAAAGAAAGAAAGTTTCAGGTCGGTGATATATAAACCGTAAAAAGTTATAACTTTTCATGATTTAATTCAAGTAATTTAAGTCCAATTTATTGGGCGGCTATATATGCTAACGAAACCACAAGATTTACGTATATAAATTCCAATACTATTAGTTTAGATTTATTGCATCCGGACTTCATAAATCACAATGAATTAAAAAATTAATAATAATAACTGTCATGATCATAAAATAACAAAGTTTAATATATAGTATCGTATTCTGAATGAATTTCATAAGCCATGAAAGTGTATATATTAATTTTCGAAGAGAAATGCAAACCAATTACAAGGTTTTTTATTTGGCCATATGCATAGACTTTTTTAGTTCGTCCACGTGATACCAATCTAACTAATTATATGATTAGTAAAATGAAGTTACAAATATATAGATTCGATATATATCTTCATTTCTTTTTCGATAATTTTCTCTTTATTTCATGGGCCATTATTTCGTTGTAATAAAATATATATGGGATAAAAATACTACTAAGAGACAAGACTATAAATGCATGCATGCAGACAAATTGCAATTTGCCTCTGCATTTTCCTTTTAACACTGTCTCTTTTTCAATTCTATTTCCCAAAAATAAAAAATTGTTGTATTCATTCACATAAATGCGTAGTGTTCTGTCAACATTCTTATTAAATCCTAAACTGTTGGTAAAATACCAAATAGCTCTTTTGCTGTTTCGCATTTCCACTCTTTTGTCCCTATTTGTCTCTTTTTCAAACTAAAAATTCTATGAGAACACTTTATTGCACAATGCAAGTACGTATTGCTTCCGATTTTTAATTTCATTCACGTACACACGTACGCGTATACATTGAATTATACATATACTAATCTGTAAACTATTTAAGATGCGTAAACCTACAACAACGACGTACCAATAGATGAAGTAATTGCAAAGCTGGACCATATGACAATATGTAATCGCAAAAAGAATGTCAAACTCATGTTTTTTCACGTTACAAGTTTGCTACTTCAATGGATACTATCACCTGTTCAATTGAAAATTTACAAAAAATTTATGTTTCTCGACAATTGTTGAATTTTTGATTGACAAAAGTTATTTCAAAACTAATGTTTTTATATAAATTTTACTGTGTTTATCCGCTTATATTAAAGGTTTTATTTTTTTATTAAAAACAAATAATAGTATATACTTTCATTCATATATGACAGAATAAAAATTGATAATTTGGATATTGCATTTCTAAAGTGTTATTAACAAAAAAAAAGTGTTGGTTTCGATAGTTATTTCTACAATTTGATATTGTATTTACATAAAATAAATTTGTGGTGGTAAAAAATATAGATAATATCTTATAAGAATTTTGATGAGTAAATTTAAATATTCTAATTTAGTAATTTGAAACACTTTTTTTTTTTTTTTGGGTTCAAATTGAAACAATTTCTTCAAGAAAACTGATATGTATATGAAAATAAAATTTCTAATTTTGACAATTGTGGTTCCACGACATTATCCTTCTCGAAGTTTAAATTAAAATGTTGTTTTCAGCTAAAAAGATTGAATTAGAGTTTGTTTCTTTTCACCAAAATCCTACTTTTTCCTTTATATGATTATGAGCGACGTGTCAGTGTGTAAGTCAACTTGGTTGCCTAAAAAAATGAAATTCCAATATCAAAATTAAACTAGATCCTTTGGATAACCGAGACTTTAACATCCTTGTTAAAGCATTGTCAACGAATTCCTTTTATTGTGAAGATCGTTAGGAACTTCTGAAACTCTATAGAAAACCCCACGTCCGTTGAAATTAATGGAGCTCTCAGCTCTATCACTTGCATATATATATATATATATATATTTATCTTTAACAGTGACCGTTCATGGATTATTTTGCCCCATCAATATGTATATGTGTATGATTTGTTTCTGATTTTTGTTTATCTTTAAAAGAGGGCTCACAGAGGAGTAACTCTTTTTTTTTTTTGGTCATCTCACAGAGGTGTAACTCCAACATTTGAATTATAGATATTGAATTATGTTATTATCAATAGTTTGGATAATTTGATTGTTAACTTCAAAATTTTATATATATTACTAGAGATGATGTGTGTGTGTGTGTATATATATATCTATACACATATCAAGTATTATATTAAATTGGTAAACTACAATTTATGAACTTTGAAAAATAATTTCCATTTCAAAATTGTAGCTTTTGGAATAAGTCAACTGCTATCACGCAAGTCCATGAAAATACATATAATTAACTTTTTTATATAATAAATCAATCGTTAAAAGATATAAGTAATACGTCCATACTATAAAGAACTCGTAAAGATTTAAAATTATCCAAAAATACATCCATTCCAGTTCGATATGATAATTTTGTTGAATACGCGAGTATTAAATTTCTTATAAAACAGTTGAATAATCAATACGAAAAGTGATAAGTTTAATATGAAAGAATTATAAGTTTATCCACATTAAACTTATAATTTCATATTGATATATATGAGTATATGACACGTTAAATATATAGAAGATTTGATTAGTTAACTAGCAAAAAGGTTATATACATATAAAAAACTAAGTAAAGCGAAATATAAAAAAAACAAATAAAAGAGATGATTTGACGAGTGACTGATCAAAATATGGCAGACTGTCCGTACCTTTCTTTTCTAACTTCTGAATTGCTGACTTTTCTGTTCTTTCTTTCTTTTCTCCCACAAACACAATTAATTACCAATCTTTCGGAGTCAATGCACTTATCCCATCCAAATCTGAATTCTCCTTACCCAACACACCTTCCTCAGTCCTCACATACATTGACATTTGACACATTCTTTGTTATTTCTCAATTAGTATTGTCGTTAAAGTACATAAAATGATTGATTATGTAACCATATTAGGTAGTTTAATAGTTTATACCAATGTTGTTAGTTTGTTGTCATCTAGGGTTCATCTAAAATTAAAAAAAAATAAAAAATAATCTAGGGTTCATCTTTAGGAAAGAAAGCATGTTGACAAAAAAGAATGTAAATGGTCGATGTGTTCAATGTTTAGTGCCTCGTGGGATATTTCAAACGTAACACTATATCAAAGATTCAAATTAAGTATAACGTTTAAGACACAAAAAAAATTAGTTAGCATGAATAACTAAGTTTGTAAGAAAATCTATTTAAATGCAATAGCCCGATACGTCAATCGTTCTACAAAATAAGTTTTGAAGTATTTAATAGCGAGGGTTACACGATTGTATGAAACGATTTTTATATAGTTTTAAATTCATGCAACCGTAATAACTCTTAAACAATTTTTATTGTACATGAACAATCACATCGCGTCGCGAGTTAACTAATCATAGATATAATAGTATATAGTATAGCTTATCGCATTATATGCATATATATGATGATATCTATGTTTTTAAAATTGAATATGACCACAACAGGAGTGGTCAAAACCAAATTGTAGAGAATTTATTATGTTCAATAGGGAAACTTAAGATTTTACCTCTGTTTGTCTACTTGGTGAATTATTTAGGGTGAATATTACAATTATTATTATCATGATCATCGCTGTGGAAAATTAGTGTCTCATTAGGTACTGTTTATAAACAGAAAAGTTAGACCGTAAGATATGATAATTCTATGCCAAAATTAATCACAAAGCCATAACGTGTTACACATACCCATCTTCTTCTTCATTTATACGTATCATTTAATTTTTCAGAAAAAATACTAAACAGTTGGGTATTTTGTGAAAGATTTTGTTTTCATTTGGCTCTCAAACATATACATTCATACAATACAATAATATTATAATAATAAGTCGATAAAGAAAGCTTTTTGTTGATAATGAGGACTTAGTTTGTGATAGTGTTATCGCGTGTCATCATCCAAATTCAAACTCGTATATTGAATGTTATTGATAAAAAAATAATGATTGTTACAACAAAGATTTTTCGTTTATCTTTTATAATTTAAACATATGTTAACAAAAGAAGAGAATGTTCACAAAGAATGTTAACTAGGCTCATCATCACCAAGACACCAACATGTTAAATAACTAGGCAACAGTATTTGTAACAAAAGAAATCTCACATTTATTGGGCTAAATAAATTACTACAAAAGCCCATTAACTAAAGAATAAGAAGCCCATCAAACAAGCTCAACAAGAAAACAGTTTATTGGGTTGGTCATGTAAGAGGCAGAGCATCAAAAGAGTGAAGAACTTGTTCCAACAACATTCTCGTACTTGAATCCAATGGATTCTCTGGTTTATCTGAATGAACAACATTCAATAGATAAAGCTTATTAGAACTCACAAACGCAGCTGAGAAAACCCTCTTAATCCCTCCTCTCGTACTATCAATTTTGTATTCAAACTCATACACTTGTTGTCCTAATCCTGATCTCTCTCCCACTGACACAACTTCTGCTTCATTTGTACTTTCCTAATTCAACAACAACAACAACAAGAACCAAATCACATACACATTTATATAGAAAATCTTGTTTTTGTTTTTTGTTTTTTTTATTACCTTTCGTTTCTCTGCGTTGATGAGCTTATCAGCAACAAATTGAGGAGTACCAAATTGGTCAAGACTCTTTATACGGACAGGACTAACTACAACACCAATATTGTTGCTTCCATTGTTTGGTTCTTCAAACAGAGCATTAGCTCCTGCTTTGTCTACCTTGGTATAAGAAGAGGGTATGAGAAGAGTGAAGCCATTGTTGGAATCAGTGTATCTTTGAAGTTCTTCAATGGATTTGGCTTTATCCAATAAGAAAAACCCATTGAAGAAGAGTGTGAGAATTGAGAGATTTAAGTGTCTTTTGCTGAGATTGATCTCAGTTTTGGATGATGGATTTTGGGTTAAGCAGAGGATACGTTTATGGATCTTGTGATGAAAACAAGAAGAAGAAGAAGATGATGGTGAGAAGAGAGACAATTTGGAAGGAGAAGAGAAGTGAAGAGAAGCCAAGAAGCTTTGCGACCACATTTTGCTTTCCTTCTCCCTTATCACATTTTTGAGGATAAGGATTTTTGAAAAGTATACCAAAAGTATACACTTGTAGAATCTTGTCTGAGACCTCTCAATTTTGTGAAGATTTCTAATGATGTAAATAATAGACCAAAAAAAAAAAAAAAACAAGTCAATTTTGTTTTTAAAATATGATTTTTCTAGAATTTATCTAAATTAGACACCTGTGGAAAGACAATATTAACGAAAAAAGAAAGGAACCATTAGCACAAAACTTTGATGGTCTAACTCGGTACACAGTCAAATTGATCACTTTAACTAAAATTTTATGCAGTCAAAACTTTTGTAAACCATTGTTACTAAAAGAGAAAGAATTGGAGACAACATTTGATTAATCAGACATAGCAACATACATATTCCTCCAAGGGTCAGGCACGTTCTGACCACAATTCTCCAGGACATTCACCAATGGTCCAGCTCGATAAGAAGCAGCCTCCTTTTCTGTTATATAGCTGTGAAGTACGCCGTGAACACTCTCTCTAGCCATACTCGTCAGAATCTGAGTGTAAATTTCAATTGATGGGAAAAAGTCTGGAAGTAGAACGGTTTCGAAGTCCCTCATAACTGTAGTATCCAACTGTTCTATGTCAACCAAGTGCGCCACAGGTTTCCGGCTGAAGCCAGAGCGGAAACGAAAAAAGAGAATAAGTGGTAAGTATGAAGAAAGCTATGGTCTTTCATAATAATATGCCGAAGTTGAGAAGCTCTTACCTCTTTTTGACCTCTGATAGTTTAGAGTCACTATCGGTTGAGACAGAGAGACCCTTGAGCTTAAGTAGAGCCTTTATCTTTTTGAAACTTTCTTCCTTTGTAACAATGTATATTATCTTCGACGAAGATGAATCCAGATGCTCTGCAAACTGCAAAAGGAAAAGAAAAACATTAATTTTGGCTTCAGTGACAGTTCTTAAGATGTAGATACATCCCAATAGTTCTCCTGTTAACTGTTTGTTTTGAATGTCCAAAACTCTAGCAACTTTGCTTTCTTATAATCTCCCATTCTTAAAACTTAAACGCTAGGGTCATAGATGAATATAATGTATCATATGACGTACCTTCTGCAACTTTTTTTCCTCCGAGGCGCAGACATTTACAGTCTGGATAATACAAGAGCCTTGGCTGGCAACAGAATCATTGACGGTTAATCTGTTAATTGATCGCCCCAAAAGACTCTGGACGGCTGGGATAGTCGAAGCACTAAAACTGTCGTTGAAAACTATCGATTGGTGTTTGTTGGAAATGGCCTGCTTAATGGATTTAACAGCATCTAGATAACCACCAGCGCAAAGTGAACCTAGTTCATCAATTACCTGTGTAAGTGTGAGATATCAATTAGCAGTGTTGAACGCTCTTAAATATAGGATAAGGAGACTCCATAGCATGCTACATGGAGTTAGAGGGAGACCAACCAATATCCATAAACATAAGAAGATATATAGATGTCCTCCATAACATTAAAAATGCCAGAGAAAACTGTCATGAAAATGAGCTTTTCTTATTGTGGAAAGATGTGGGCTAAGTAGATATGTAGTTATAGGGATCAGGATTCAACTAAAGTAGAGAACTCAGAATAAAATTTGGAAACCTACCTAGACCACTATTAAGATCCTATAGACACTTAAAGCAATCAATCCTGGGACAAACTTCTAACATAAACACTGGGCCAAATACTCAGAATAGGAAACTAAACTCAATCCATAACAGGTAGCAGATAGAGATGGTTGTTGTTATTTTATCGATAGCTTGAAAAGGAACAAAAACTAACAAACATCTTTGAAACAAAAAAGGACCTGCCAACCTTCCCCACTACAGAAGTCGACATAAAATCTTACGTGAAACAATTAAATTTGAAGCTATAGTAGGTTTTTCATAGTAATACGATTTGGACATGTTTGGACTGCAGTATAACGAAACATGAAACAAACAGGAGAAAGATTTTAGCATACCAGCAATGAAACGCTGGATATATCAACGCCCTTCAAGTTAACAATCTCCAAAAGTCTCTCAGGTGTAGCAACTATAAACTCAGGCTCAACGCTTTTCAATCTACAGCTCGAAAGGCAGTTTGTCATAATCGGAGGAAAAAATGAAGGAGATTATCCTTAATGTAGCAACAGCATGGAAAATGTGTAAAACAGACTATACTGCAGAAAGAAAAAATAGGTAATGGAATGGTTAGATGTACCCTGAAATCTGATGATCTAGTGACGCTCCTTGGTGTAAGCTCACAGTGTGAATTCCAATACCTTTCAGTGCCTTGCAAACCGATCGGACCTAAGCACAATAAAAACACAAATGGCTGCATTACGAAAACAGCTGCACTAAAGAAAGAAGACACTCACAAAACTAAAACAATGTGATCCTAACCTGAGAAGCTTTAGACTGAGATGGCACAAGGTACAAAAGAAAAGGACTGTTTCCCAACAACTCCTCCTCCTCCTCCTCGTCTTTCTCCCGTCTAGCAATAGCATCAGCTGCACTTGAAACAATCCAAGCAATCTGTTCCACAGTGGAAGACATTCCACTTGTCTCCAAAATATCTTTCCCAGATGAAAAACATTTCCAGAACTCAATACCCCAAGTACTAGTGAACAAAGACTTATCATGCTGTTCACTATATGTACTATCTTTACGAAACGAGCTCTCAATCTCATTCAAGTTTAACATGAGAAACTTTGGTGGACCATCCATCTTCTTCTCAACACCATCAATGGACATAGTAGATGGTTTCTTCTCTTCTCTACTCTTAACCTTTTTCTTTTTCTTTTTCTTTGTAGTTATATCAGCTTTACCTTGTCTTTCATTGAATGGATCTTCAAGTGTAGGAAGAGTAAAACACATTCCCTACGATTCATCAAACACATAGTCTTCTCTCAAATTGAACATTTCCGATTTCAAAAACCCTAAAATCGAATCGAAGTGAGATACCTGACACATGCTGCGTTTACCAGACTTGCGACGTTTCTTGGCGGCGATAATGGCGGAGATACGAGCAGAGACGGTGGCGGTATCGTTCTTCCTACTCATCTTCTTCCTCGTCAATTTATTCTTCTTCCTCTGCACATTATCGTCTCCTTTCGCCATTTTTGGAGGTTAGCTTCGCGGCGGCCGTTGCGTAACTTTAGCTTCGCTTCCGGATTCTTATTTCGGGTTTCTCCTTTATATAGTTGTGGCATAGTTGTAATTTACAGAAGTTTTGAGGGTAACAGTGTCATTTGGGATATCGAATTTCATAAATTAATCCCCGTAGAACCGGCTTGATTGGTTTGGTACTAAACCGGACTTTTGCATAAACCGGAAAAGTTTCTTTCTTTACTAAGTCGAACAAAATTGTTGCTTACATAAACGAAGCATTCTACATATCAAGAAGAAAAATATCAAAATTTTAACAATCTTTTGTTTTGTTTTTCAAAAGAAGAATCGTCTTTGATGATTAAGCCGCTTGATCAGATTCAGAGCAAATCTTGATCTCTTCTTGTTTCTCCTCCAAACAAACATTAGATTCTATAAGTGTTTTCTCTTCATCGACTTTATTCTCTGTCACATTAGGCTGCTTTTGACGGTGACTATGATCATATTTGGAAGAAGCTAAGTGATCTAAAGCCATTACTACATCGGCTATCACCGGTCTCATACTTGGCTGTTCTTGAACACACATTGCAGCTATTGCAAGTGCTTGGTACAATGCCCTAACCGGATAATCTCCTTCGAGTAACGGATCAACCATTTTCTTGAAATTATTTCTATCTTTAAACAACGGACGTGCCTGTAAAATTATGTCGAAAAGTGTGAATTATGCTCAACTAGAAAAAAGAGAGAAGCAAAAGTTACAATAGAGCTAGAGAGAGATCTTTAGCTTTACCCATTCAACTAGACTCTGGTGATTACGTGTTCTCGTGTTATCGAAAGCTTTCCTTCCAGTGATAAGCTCCAAAAGAACAACTCCGAAACTGTATACATCTGATTTGAATGTGAGTTGTCCTGTTAACGCGTAATCAGGAGCACAGTAACCGTATGTTCCCATAACCCTTGTGGAAACATGGGTTTCACTCCCTCTTGGTCCGACTTTAGCTAATCCAAAGTCTGAGAGTTTTGCGTGATATCCTTCATCGAGCAAGATATTCGAACATTTAAGATCGCGGTAGATCACAGGAGGTTTCATTGCATCATGGAGATACTCTAGTCCTCTTGCTGCACCAGCCGCTATTTTCATCCGAGTGCTCCAAACAAGCGGTTTTCTGCCGTGAGGAAGATCTAAAACCAAACAGAATATACGAAAACAAGTTAACATAATCAACAAAGCAAAGAGTGATGCAATACCATTATAATGATCCTCTGGCTTGCTTATAACAAGACATGCCCTGAGAGAAAGATAAAGAGCAATTGAGTTGAGGTATACAACATACCATGGAGGTGATTTTCCAAAGAACCTAGCGGCATGTACTCGTAAACCAACAGTCTCTGAGCACCCTCAGCACAAAATCCAATAAGCTTCACAAGATTCGGATGATCAGCGAGACTTAACGTCAACACTTCAACAACAAATTCCCTAATTCCTTGAGCACCATTCCTATCAAGTTGCTTAATTGCAACAACCTATCAAAAACCAATTCACAAATCCTTTAAAGCTCTAACCACCTAGCCACATTACACAGTAAATAATCAACCAAAAAACATATATATATATACCTGATTGATTTTCTCAATGAAACCTTTGTAAACTTTTCCAAACCCTCCTTCACCTAAAAAACAATCCGACTTAAAGTTTCCGGTCGAAACAGCGAGTTCTTCAAACGTAAAAGTCTGTGCTTTCTTCCCTATAACTTCATCTTCAACATTAGTATCCTTAGCATCCAAAGCTAATTGATCCTCCTTAGTAACTACCTCCTTGTTCACATCTCCACATAGACTAACTTTTAAACAATCTACACGAATCCATATATACAACAATAAGAACACAAAACCTAAAAACGAAGAAACCCAAATCGAAACTACTAAAACAGAGGAATACCCACATCGCAAGATTCCAAATTGAGAAATAAAAATCGAATTTTTATCGAAATCAAGTCGATACCTGAGCTGGGTTGTGTGTGATTATCTCGATTTACGTTCTTATGAACGATATTTGTATTTACGGTGAGTTTTTTTGGGGTGAAATCGTTGTTCTTCGTGGTTTTGATCTCTGATCGTTTGTTCGATTTCGTAGTGCGTCCGAAACATCCCATCGCTAAAGCTAGAAGCTTTTTTCTCTCTCGTTGGAGAAAAAAACCCTAGAAAGTTCGGAATTAAACAACGGAGAATGAGGAAACGTAAAAATCTGATTTTTGGGGAAAGAAGATGAAGAGTTACAAAAAGGAAACAGAGAGAGAGAGAGAGGAGAGGGTAAAGTGAGAGAAGAGATGCTTAATTTGAACTTTTTTAAAGGAAGAAGAAACGTCAGTTATTGTCTACGGGAAGGCGTACCATAAGGGTTATTAATAGTAACCAATAAGGTGCGTGTAGTTAAATTTGGGTCTTGTGGAGTAAGTCAAAGTGAGATGTGACTTTGAGGGAGCTGCTTGGTCAAACGTTTTGTTTGTCAAGAAATTTGTCAATTTTTGCTTAAAGCTCCGTTTTGAGAGCACCAATCCGTTTTAAAGGGAGTACAAAGTAGAAATCACCGGAGAAATGCGATTATCGGCGTTTCTAACCCGAAATGACAAGAAGATATATGTTGTCACAAGAGTAGAGTGACTTAATGTATCCATCATGCCCATTCTTCATTGCTCGAATGTCTTGGAAGCGTTTCATGAACCATATGGTCAGGATTCAGGAGGACCATGTAGCTTTTGATGGTATGGATCTTATTACAATGGAAGATCAAGATCATTTCTATTTGGACGAAACCAGGTTTATGCATCTAATAAGGCATCATCAACCACTTCGAGTGGTAATGTATCCAAATTTTGGAAGAGTTTATTTTCTATTTTGCGATTTTAGATAAAACGGGAATTGATTCACATTGTGAAGAGCCAAAACGGTTAAATTAAATGTTGTTTTTATAAGAGATCATCTATATATTTTGTAAAAAAAACCTTAATGGTAAGATAATTTTTTTGGAGCTGATAGAATTGGAAAGAAAGCTTATGTATGAAGAACCGATGGATGTAAAAACTGGTGTGATTTGTTATTTTTCTATGAGGCGATGTTTCATGCATAATCCATTTTACAAGACTCTTATGCTCTAAGGTTGGTTATATATCCAAATTTTGGAAAAGTTATTCATTTCACGCTTTTTGGATAAACTACGACATCTACGAGAATTGATTTACGTCATGGAAAGCCAAAACGGTTGAGGAAGGTTTTTCCTAGAACATTTTTTTTTAAAGACTAGTATGAGAAAACTCTCGGAGCTAATGGAATTGAAGAGAACGCTCATGTATGAATTTCCAAAGGACATTAAAAAAGTGTCGTTCGTTATTTTTCTATGAAGTCACATAAATAGCATAATCCATCTTGCAAGACTCTTATTGCTCTATGGTACGGCTAAACAACCGTATGGGGCTTACCAAATAAAAGTTTTAAGCTGTAAGCGCTCTTTTGTTCTGAGGTTTGAGGACTGTTTTGGATAGGGTTTGCTCGTGGCAACGACGATGAAGATCCGAGTTCTTTGGAGCTGAGGCATTCACACAAATATCCAAGCTTCGCGGTTTGGAATCAGTGTTTCTTTTTCGAGCCTCTGCTGGATGTTTTTCCCTTGTGTTTTCCTTGTCGTGTTTCTGCTGTAATCGTAGTTTTAGGTTATAGTTTTTGGTTTTTCTGTCTTCTTAGTATCTTCTGTAATCGCTATCGCAAATTTAAAAATGGTATAAATACTTACCATGTTACAAAAAAGAAAAAAAAAAGTTTCTGATTTTTGGACCATTTGTTCTTTAAGTTTCAGCTAGTGCTTTAAAAAGTGATAGATCCCCTGACTTTGGGCCACCAATATTTTGATTTCATAGTATAATGTAAACACCGGTTTTGTGAACTTTCAATAAAGCCCACCTTTCTGATAAGCTTTACTTGTGGCTAGACTTCTTATTAAATGTATTTTCACTGGTTCGACTTCCTCCCGAAGCACATTCTTTTATTTTATTTTTTCGTCTAAAAGATTCGTTAAACAAGGGAAAGCAAAAGCCCCAAAGGCTAAGGGGAACAAATTAAACACTCAAACTAGGGAACTATACAATCATAAAAATATAAAAATTTAGATTCACGCACAAAGATAGTAGAAAGTATTCTTTTTAGCTAATTCTCCTGAAAATGAATTTTTAAAACGAAATTTTTCAATACTGATTACAAAATATAAAACTTTTGATTATAAGTTACAACTCAAAGATTAATTAGTACATACATAACTTTTATTTGTTATGTTTTACCCTTCCAAATTCACTCTGAAAATTGAGTAAGATAAAGAGAAAAACAAATTTTATTTTTTGAACGCAAGCAATACGTTGTTATTAACTTGAAGATACATAATGAAAATGAATGGATGATGTTACCCTTACCAACAACATGAAAAAGAAGCATTATTTGTGGAATGTCGATTTAAAGAGAAAAACAAGATTTTGTGTGGAAAATAAAAAGACAAATAAAGTTTTGTTTCGTGTATAACAAGAAACAGTCTACAGTCCCCGGGACGGAGCCGGAGGCGACGGAGACTTACTGTCGTTCTGCATCATAACTTGGAGAATGGAAGCCACAGTCTGAATCAAAGTCAACACGAGGAGAACAACGGCGGCGATGGTGGCAGTACCGGTCCACAGATCTTTGAAATAAACTCGCCGGAGAGTTCCAACCGATCTGTTGAGGCGATTGTCGTAGTGTTTGTTGAGATTTTCAACTATATCACAATAGTGAGAGCCGAAATCCACGAGCCCTAAACACAGCTTGTTCACCATTTCTGTCACCGATCCTTGATGTCCTAAGTCCTAACCAGTTCTTTACAATTCCTTTCAACGTAAAATGTGTTACAAATCTTAGAATTGAAAAAATAAAATAAAACACCAGTTTAGTAATTTATAATATGAATGTCCAACTTGTTTAGTAAACAAAATCGTTATTATAAATATCTGATTATATTCGAGATATTTAATATAATCTTACTATGATGATATTCAACTAACTACAATATAAGACGACAAAAAAAAATATCCCGTTTGAAATCTAATAGCCGTCGATGGAAACCGAAAAATTGAAACCTGGGTTTTCTTTTGTTTTTAATCAGGACAAAATGAAACCAAAATATAAAACTTATACTGTTTTCAATAATATTTTAAATTATGTTTTTGTAAATTGCTTTTACCTTTCTTGACGAGCAAGTCAACGTCTTGGTCGGTATTAATGAGGAAATCCAAGAAGGAGATGTAGTCACAAACATAAGTAGTTCGTGGGTAATGGCATTGCTCGAGTGCCATTAAATTCCTCACAACCCTCTCGGTGTTGTCTTCCACTGTGAAACAAGGCATTTTCAAGATTCCGTCTTTGAAAGTAATCACCAACGATAAATCATTTTCTTCATCCACATTCACAAAATTCACTCCTGCACTGTCTAGTTTGTCTGCGTTGTACATAATCTTTCTACTCTTCGGTGGCTCATTCTTTGCTATACTAATTTGTTCTTCTGTCAAAGAAAGTGTGCTGACACGGACACACCGAAACAAATCTGTAAAATGTTTGAATCTCACTTCTTTTTTGATCTTTCCCTCGAAGCCAAAAGCTCGAAGGGTAATGTCACGAAACGTTTCCTTAGTATCAAGATTTGAGAAAAAAGGTTCAAAGAGTTTCTCTAAAAGGGCGTAAGGAAGTTGGTTCTCGAGCAAGATTAGATCTTCTAAAATGGCGGTAGCGTTTATGAGACGACTCTGGTTTAAAAGAATATCTTCTTTCTTGCTGAAGTTTAAAGTACTTCCGGTTTGAATGAAGAACAATAGTATGAACACCGAGTCGTGGAGGATCATTTCTACGAAATCTTTAGTATTGATCCAAATCGTTGACTCGGCGTAGCTTTCTCTTATGTATCTCTCATCTCTTATGATGATTTTCTTGAACTCTTCAATAGTTTGATCCCCAAATATATTTGCAATACTATCAAGGCACTTCTTCTTGTGAAGCTCCATGTTGAGATAGTTCAAATATCTGGAATAATCCATACGTATTATCTAAATGTTTCAAATAAAATTAATACTAGTTAAAATACTATCTTTCTATACTATGTTGTTAATTGTTACCTTAACTCGGTTTTATAGCGCTTGAAGGCTTCAACTTTCTTGGAATGGTGAAGAGGACCGATTAGCAGCATTTGAGGAGTGTAAGCCTCGGGGTTCACTTTGCGTAACCGGTCTGGCACTCTATAGATGCAACAAAACTCGGGTTTAACCGAAGAAGACCAAAGACCCGGAATCTTAGAATCGGCCGGTTGAGTCGTGTCTTTAGAAAGCCGTAGATATTGAATATATCCTTCGCCCATAGGTCTTGCTAACATTGTTCCTCGTTCTAGATTCGAAAAAATATGTTCCTTCTCCTAAATGCATTGTCAATAATATATATGTATATATATATAACTAAACGTAATAGTATAACAAACAATTGATAAACTATATTTTTCTACTAAATGCATTGTCAATATTGGATACATACCTCGTTGTTTTTGAACATCTCGCCCAAAACTGTACTTAGGGATGTGGAGGGCTAATAAGGCCAATAAAAAAACAAATACAATTAGTTTTTCTGGATAAAATTTAATAAATGTAATAGTTTTACAAACAATAGATATAACTAAAAGAGAAATAACATATAGTAAAACTTTGTGTGATGTACAATTGAATCTGCTATATGCGTTATCAATATTGAATACATACCTCATTATGTTTGAACATTATTCGGTGTGTTACAAAAATTCATCAAGGTGAAACCAAACAAAATCGTGATAAACCCTCAATTCGTAACAAAATCTGTTTGGTTTCACCTTGATGAATTTTTGTAACACACCGAATAAAACTTTACTAATTAAATTTTTTACATCATGACTTTCATATTTTCAGTTTAGAAAAATATTGTAAGCTAGAATTTTAGAAGAAACAATAAATCAAATTGTTTATATTTATTTATGTTTTAGTATATCGTTTTTTTTTAATTTAAATTAAGATTATTAATACTAGGGTTTATTTTACCATTTATGAAAAGGTGGGGGTTTAAAAACCCACAAAAAAAGTTGAGGGTTTTTTCTATGTTTTTAAGAAAGGTGAGGGTTTTTTTACCCATTTTTCCGATAAAGTATGAACCGTAAATAAAGTTAAAAGTTTTATTTTGTTAATTATTAGAGGGTAATTAACACTATTTTTTCTCTATGAAATATATATTTATAATCAAGAAAAATAACGCTAATATACACATATTGTACCAATATACCAAATAGTATTTATACCTTGTTGTCTTTGAGGGCAGTGCCTGGAGATTTGGGGGGCTAAGGTGAATAAAAAATGAAATGTTTAATTATTTTTGGATAAAATATGCATCATAAATATAGTTTAAAATATTATTTTGTAAAATATTTGTGATAATTAACACTACTTTTTTACTCAATGAGATGTAATTTTTCAATCAAGAAAATAGCATTAAAATACATATTGTACCCATATACCAAATAATATATATATATATATATATATATATATAATTGTTTAGATACTATATTTAGTTTTTATTGTTTTAAAAAAAAGAAATAAAGGTAAGAGATGTGAATTACAGATGGTCAGAACTGATACTAATTAGTAGAAGACGAGAAAATAATAACAAAATCTTTAAAACACATCAATAATTAAGTAAAAACAATTTCCTATATATATACACACACATATTTATATGTAATAGTTTAACAAACCATAGATATAGTAAAGAAAAATAACATATAGTAAAACTATTTATGATGTTCAGCTATAGTATTTTGATAGATAATTAGGAAATATCAGATTTCTATATTGTAATTATTTCTCTTTTAGTTTACGTTTATCATCCTAAATTTTATTTTATTTTTTTAGCTGAAATTATTAGGGATTAAAATATATTATTTTCTAGATTTTTTTTAACACACATGAACCTGCTAAATGCATCATCAATATTGGATACATACCTCGTTGTCTTTTATACACTCTCGCTTCAGGACTATCCCTATAGATTCTGAGGACTAAGCTAACACGAATAAAAAATGAGACGTTTAATAATATATTTTCTTAGTAAAATATGGATCGTAAATAAAGTTTAAAATATTATTTTGTAAAACACTAGAGATAACTAACACAATTGTTTGCTCTATGAAATAAAATTTTACTAGGATATGACCCGCGGTACACCGCGGGTTAATTTTTTTATTTAGTTTTGTTTTTATAAATTGATGAATTTGTTACGTGTAATATTTTTTGTTATACACCGCGGATCGATTTTTTGTAACTAAAAAAATTAAATTTTAGGTTGTATTTGTTTTGTTAAGTGTTTAAGATTTTATAATTGTATTTTGATTGTTAATTCTAGGATTTCACCCGTGGTATACCGTCCCATATTAATATCAATCCAAACCCGTCTCACCATATAGTCCCGTCATGTGAAAATAAACATCATTTTGTTATTTTTATTTTCAATAATACTTTTTTTGTAAAAGATCTATACTTCGAGTCAATTTTAAATTTTGCTTTCAAATGGTTAATTTTTATAGAGTTCATCTATATTATTAATATTATAAAAATTTATAGAATTTGAATATTATAAATACTTTCAAAGTTTTATAAAATTTAAATATTTAATTAAAAAAAATATAATTAATCCGCGGTGTACATTGGATCAAATATGATGATATAGTGCTAATATAACAAATTTGAGCTAATTATCTGAAACCTATTTACCTAATTTAAACATAAATATATGGTTCTCCTTTCAAAAATAACAAAATTCATCTTCAACCGTCAATATAGTTAATGTTTATTTCGCATGATGTTCACAAAATCATTCTGCTTCGACATATCTAAAATTCTAATATTAATGATGTTCGTAAAAAAATAAAATGAGGATTTAACCCGTATTGTAACGTGGAGTTTTTTTTTCTTATTTTTATAAATATTTATTAATGGCGATTGAAACTCTTCTCGCAATGTAACTCGTCCATTATTATTTTAATTTTTTTAATATATTTAAATATTCACAATAGAAATTCCTTCTAATTGAATGTCTTATTCCCCTGCCCGAGAACCCATTACTATGAAAGTATGAATCAATGCATTACAATTGAACAAACCCAAACTCAATTTCTTTAGTTAAGAAGGGCCATTTTAAAATTTTGGTTAAGCTTAAATACATTAGTGTAGTGTAGATAGCCCATAAGGCCTTTAAATGAAATGGTGAACAAAACCCATTATGTACACGAACGGAGTTCAAAGAGTGTGTGTGCGATGTCGTGTCGGAGTTCAAAGGATGACAGCTTTATGTAGATCTTCTCTTCCTCTCTCTCTCTCTCTCTTGAGAAAAAAAGAAGATAAGCTTTGAAATCTCAGAAGAGGGTTCGTCTTCAACATGGAGATTCAATTCGATTTGATGTGTTTTAAGCATCTGCCTTGTAATCGTCCGTGTCTTCTTCCTCGGGCTCGCCCTTGATAAAAAAAAAGACAAAGTTGTTGAATTGAACACAACCAACTTCGATTCAGTTCTTAAAGACACTCCAGCATAGGTAATTTAGTTTCTCTGAATATATAGAAATTTATGTTTCTAGAATTGAATTTTGAATAGTTTATTTGTGTGTTTATGATCTCTTAGACTCTTAATTTGGTAATTAGACTCAAGTAATGATGCTGCAATTTAAGGGCATGTGAAAATTGTAAGAATGAGACGAAATATTGTTAAATGGTTCAAATATAGTGAATTTTGTTTTAGTTTATGGTCTCTTAGGTTGATGATTTTTGATTTCAATTCAATGTATAAGTTAAAGACTTACTTAGTACTCGTTGGAAGTTTTGACTTATACATTCAAGAGTATAGTTATCTCGTAGATTCTTTAGTTTCGTGATTAGTATAGTAAAGATGCTGTAAGGTCATGTGAGAATTGTAAGCATAAGCTCAAATACTGCTAAACAATCTAAATGGTAGTTTTCTTCATTTGGCTTTGTTTGACATAAATATTATCACTTTAATGTTTACATAATGTAAAATATGAATCCAAGTACTAATATAATATTTAGGCATGAGATAAAAAGAAAGATAAGAATAACAACATAGCAATGAAAAAGAGTGAACCAGACAGAAAAAGATTGATGAATCCTATCTTGGGATGATTGATTGGTAGAAATGTTCTCCACTTGCATAACTTCATCCAAAGTTTTCAATGGTTTTCTATTATCCTCGGATTATCAGCTTTTCAAAGAGATTAACATATTTCTTTCTCACTGAAGCAAGAATCTTTTACTCTGTAAAAAAAAATTTGTGAGCATTTGTAAATAATGTCGTAAAAAGAATAATCATACTATAGACTCAATTTTGGCATCTTACTTGCATATCAGCCAACACCATGTCCAACGTCTCAACAAATCTTCTTGTGTATGATTTTCAGGTATGAAGGACCCTCACTTGCCATGTTATCTTGTAGGGTTTCACATCTCTGAGAAATACAAAGGAAGCCGCCATTGCTAGATTTGATGAATGAAGGAGTTTATTAAGAAATGAGGTAATTGCTTGATGATGTAGAAGATTGACTGAAGAGCGATATTTATAGAGAACTTAGATGTCTAGGGTTGGTCAAAGTCGATTTGAGAAAATTCTTTGGGAGCAAGTAAATATCTAAGATACGGGAAACTAAAAATGGATTTTTAGGTTAATCACAATGAATGTAACAAACGTTTAAGGGAAGATTACAATTTCGTGAAGTAACAATATAGATTCGATTGAATATGATGGAAGATTGTAGATAATTTTGTTTAGGAAATCTAATTTGATCGAATATGTAGAGAGAATATGCTTTTAATTAGATACCAAAATTAACGATTTGATAGGATTTGCATTTATCGTGTAATCTTTATATCATAAATCACATGTTTTTTTAGGAAAAAAATAGAATTTGCACTAAACACATTAGCACCTAAATAGGAAACGATTTACACCGAAAATATATGTTTGTTATAACTACTAAATCAATCATTTAATTTTGTTTGGATTTGTTTTGGAAAGTCTTTCCGGGTCAAAATTAATAGTCGAATTACTTGATTTTTTTTTGGAAAGTCTTATTTAAAAGGATTCGAGAGCTTTGATTGGCTAATGAGTCGGGTCAAAAAAAAATCCGGGTAAAAATCTCACTAAAAACCCGACCCGATTGGATTTGAGCAAATTTGTACTTCAAAAATGTTAAGTAGATAATCAAGAAAAATAGCTCTAAAATACATATTATAGCAGTCTATCTAAATAATATTTATACTAAATAATAACTATATATACACTTTTTTAATGTTGAGATATTTATTTTTCTTGTTTAAATTAAAGAAATAAAGGTGAAAGAT